CCCCAAAAAGGCACCGCCCAAGCAGAAGGTGAAAAAACCAGAACTCCAAACTGATCTCTTGAGGAAAATTCTGGGCGGGACCGTGGCTAAATCCTGCTGCTTCCACTGCACAAAAACAAAAACAATGATGAGCACGGCGAAGAAGCAGAACAAGAGGATGATCCTCCACGAGTTCCAGTCGTACTCTGTCCCTCCCCACTGCAAGGCGAGCAGCAGAGAAATAATGGCAGGCATGAATACTAGGGTACCGATGGGATCGAACTGCCAGACCTTGGTCTTCCAGGGCAGGGCTTTGTTCTGCTCTATCTCCTTTCTCTTTGGGTCCGGGAAGAAGAAGGCGATAACCAGAAGGGTGACGGCACCGATGGGCAAGTTGATGTAGAAGCACCAGCGCCAGGTTACGTGATCCGTGAAGGCGCCGCCCATTAGTGGCCCGCTGATGGAAGCCAAGCCGTACATGGAGCCGATGGCACCGGTGTAGATGGGTCTTTTGTTCAAGGGGACGGAATAGGCGAGGATGGTGAGAGCGCCAGAGAAGATACCGGCTGAGCCTATGCCTGCGATTGCGCGCCCCATGATTAAAGTGAGAGAATTATTAGCCACGGCACAGATGAGGGAGCCGACTTCGAAGATGAAGATTGCGATGAGGTAAACCCATTTGATGCTGAAAAAGGTATAAAATCTGCCAAAGAGGAGTTGCAGGGCTGCGGTGGTGAGGAGGTAGGCCGAGCCGTACCAGCCCACGTCGGGGAGGGATTGGAATTGGTCTGTGATTTTGGGGATTGCTGTTGAGATGATTGAGTTGTCTGCATGTGTGTTAGTGAAGGTTCTGTTATAGAGCAACAGAAGGGGTGCATACCCAGAGCCATGACGAAAACACTGAGGCAGAGGGCGAGGACGATGAGGCCAAGCCTCGTCCCCTCGGGGTATTCCTCTCCATCTTCGCGGGTTTGTATTTGTCGGAGAGATTTGCTTCCCGCATTTGAGGCGGCGGTTTGCTTCCGTGCTAACGAGATGGATTGTTTCTCTTGTTTCTCGGTGTTGCTGTCTTTGGTAGGGGTAGTTGGGATAGGAGTAGGTTGTTCGGTTGATGATTCAACTGGTTCTGGCTTCTCATTTGTCTCAGTCTTATCCGTGGTGGATCTCTTCTCGTCATCAGAGATGCTGGTAGAGTCTGGAACAATTGTAGGTGCTTGCGACTCTGCCACCTTTGGCAGGTCAAGATTGTTGCTGGCCATGATTGGATTCCTCAAAATAAACTCCAATCTGTTTTGGTAAGATCATGGAAAGAAAAGGTCACAAAGCAGAACTCTCAGCTCTATCGATCGGGCGGGACAGGCTGGGAGACTTATACTACAAACAAGGGCATGGGGGGTAGCTTTCCGCTGAATTTTTTACAAAAGTCCCAAACAGGGGTAGCGGACATGCTGAATGATGCCATCGGAGATAAATGAACAAAGGAGGAAGTCAATCTGAAGACACAGCCAACGCTATCCCATCACCCCCCGCGTACCCCCCCCTTTCCAGCTGAATGGTACAGTAGATTAGGAGCCTGTGTGGCTTGCAGGCGTCGGTACTCGGACACAAAATTTGCCGGGCCACCAAATGCAACTCTAAAAAACGAGGAAGGATTCTGTCGTCTTTGATTATGTGATAATGTTTCCGACGCTGTCCAATGATCTCGTCGGGAGCCCCGTAGGAATTGTTCTGGATTACCAGATTAGGTGAGAATTCCCCACAATCATGGGCACGCCTGTCTTACAGATGAGATTGATAACCTTAGTGGGTTAGTAATGTACGTGTCAAAGCTGTGTTGTTGTGATGGCGTATATCTCCGGATTCGTCCGTGTGTCCGCCGCGCCACGGGGACTTTTCCAGGGTAAAGCCAAGGGCGGCACTGCAGACCCCAACCGGACGAAAAACATGCCGTGCAACACGGAGACATGAGTCATCAGACATCGAAGAATCGTGAACGAACGGAAGACGGGTTGACGGGTTTTTAAAGATGTGCGAAGATAAGCCTCTCTTTCATTGCTGGCGTTTTGGGCCATCAAAAGTACGGGATTGGGAATGATCACCCCCTCAAGGTTTGTCCATGCTCGGATTCAAGTTTAGATAATCGGCCCGTTCGTCGCATTTGTTGGCGATGGAAGGAAAGAATTTGTGATTCCAAAATCACAACGACGTTGCTTTCTTTCGCACTTTTGGTGTAATAAGAAGAGGCGCAGACGGAAGCCTCGGAGACGCCTGGTTACACAATGAGTGGGATGGAAGTGGGCAAATCTGGGGTTGTGTGACTCGAATGAAGTTTTCGGTTCAACGTCCTTTTTGAGAATCTAGAAAACGAAGCCGAGAGATGTCGTTCTTTCCAAGCGTTTTAAGCTTTCAAGACAGTTGTGCCAAATCGCCGATCGTTCAAGACAGCTAGAGGGTGGGGGTAAAAGCCAAAGTTGATCCCAAATTCCCGGATCACAACTGCCGAGTGAAACCCACTCGCAGCAAAGTCTAAAAATGAAAAGATAACTCCTCATTTGAGAAGTGCAGTCCCAGATCTTCAACTTGGACTTCTGCCAGATCTGGCGATAGCAATCCGTTGACAGCAGTAATCCCTACCACCGCTGACGGTTGGCATCGCGTGGACTGCCACATTTGGCTGCGGATTTCCCCAACTACGGCATCAGACCGACGTGCCCAGGAGTAAAAGAAATCCGAGTGTTTATCTTGTCGCTATTTCGACTTGACACATCGTGGCTATGCCCTCTTGTTCACACTTTCTGCGGTGATATCCGCTTGGAGTCGAGCAACGCGTGATGGACGAAAGGTGGAATCCTAATAACCATCGACAAAAGGTGCAGGCAATTTGACTGGCAGGGGCGCCACGTGGTTCTCCACACTGTTATTATAGCGGTTCAATATGGTACCTGAACACAGTATCATCAAGATGCAATTTCAAGATAGCATCAACAACCTCCAGACCGGGTCATCACCATGACCGCCGCAAAAGATGCGCCCACAAGGGCAATGCGTGGTGCTTCTCTTTTGATTCTGCTGCAAGTAGTGTCCCGAGCAGTAACCTTCATCGCCAACCAAGTACTCCTCCGCTTTCTTACCGCCCAACTCCTCGGCATCTCAACCCAGCTCGAGGTCTACTACCTCTCCGTCATCTTCTTTGCGCGCGAAAGTTTAAGAGTTGCAATCCAGCGCCAAGATCTTTCCTCACTCTCGTCCTCCAAAGATGAAAAGAAGAACCACGCCTCCCAAGCAATCATCAACTTGGGCTACATCTCCATCATCCTCGGCATACCCCTTTCTTTCTTTTTCGGCTACCTCTATGTCTCTTCACTTTCACCCACCACTTTATCCCTCGCGCCAAACCTCATCCCCTCGCTGTATATCTACGCCCTGGCCTCAATCTTGGAACTCCTATCTGAACCCATCTTCGCCCTCACCCAAACCCGGTTGGAGTTCAGCATTCGCGCCAGAGCTGAATCCATTGCCACCTTTTTACGATGCGTCCTCACATTAGCTTCAGCTATTTACCTTCCCTACCAAGGAGTCCTTCCATTTGCGCTGGGACAGCTAAGTTACGCTGTAATTCTCCTCTCGGTATACCTTTATCACGGTTCCGCCCTCTCTCGCAAGGAGAACTTTTCCCTATTCCCTAAACAAATCCCAGCTTCTAAACCATTCATCTTCCACCAAGCCACTCTCACTTTAACCACCTCCCTCCTCTCCCAATCAGTACTCAAACACCTCCTAACGCAAGGCGACACATTCCTCGTCTCAATCCTCTCCTCCCCAACCTCACAGGGAGTCTACGCACTCGCCAACAACTACGGCGGTCTCTTGGCCCGCCTAGTATTCCAACCAATCGAGGAATCATCACGCACTTATTTCTCTCGCCTCCTCTCGCCTCCCACGGCAACCTCAACACGCACAGCAGCACAATCACTTTCCACCCTCCTAAAACTTTATCTTCTCCTCTCCCTCCTCATCGTATCTCTCGGCCCTCCCGCTGCGCCGTTACTTCTCTCCTTAGTAGCGGGCGCACAATGGCTGGCATCAGGCGCAGGCAAATGCCTCTCAGCATACATGTATTACATCCCACTACTGGCCATCAATGGCATCAGTGAAGCGTTCGTTTCGTCCGTGGCCACGGAGAGGGAAGTACATAAACAGAGTCTTTGGATGGCTGGGTTTTCTGCTATTTTCGCCGGAGCAGGGTATTTGACGTTGAGAGTGTTGGATATGGGAGCTACGGGGTTGGTATGGGCGAACGCGATCAATATGGGGTGCAGGATCCTGTGGTGCTGGGTTTTTATTGGGGGGTGGTTTGCCAGGAATGGCAAGGGAGAAGGGGGAGTGAGCGTGAGGGAGGTTATGCCTGGGCCTGCTGGGGTGGGAGTTGCTGCTGTTGCTGGGACTATTGTGAGGCAGGTGGTGAAGAGCGAAGGAGTTCAAGGGTTGAAGGGAATTTTGATGGAACTGGGCAAGGTTGCGGGGGTTGGTTTGCCGCTTTTGGCTGTTTTGTGAGTGGTCCCTTCCTGCCTACTACATGCTATTGATGTGTGAAAAGTTTGCTGATTGAATTAGGGTCATTACGGAACGACGATTCATAATGAATGGTATTGAGGCGATCAGGGGTAGAAGAGGAGAGAAAGAAGGAGGCGGAGAAGGAAAAGTAACCGCTGAGTGAAAGGGGAATCGTGGGCAAAGAAAGAAAAAGGAGCTTTTAAATTATAGGAAGCACCATTGGGAGTGAGAAGGGATAAATGATTCTAATTAGATTTTGTCTGTACATTTTTTGTTGTTGCCAGAAAGCATTAAGCAACGGAGTTTCTGTTAAACGAGGGGAGCAAGACACCAAAGAAGTAGTCCAAGAAACCAGTGAAAAAGGAAGTTTGCCTGCTTTGCAATAAATCAAGGAGCACCAAAAGAAAAAGTTAAAAAATTAATAAATAATGAAAAAAATAAATAAATAAAAAAGAAGAAAACTGAATTGACCAACCCCGGAGTCGAACCGGGTTCTTTCCTGGGCATACCCAGGAACGCGCTGACCGTTACGCCAGAAGGTCGAGAAGAGGGAACCAGAAAAAGAAATGATATTGGTGCTCCGGGTGTGTACTGTTGGTTTTGCGGTCCGGTGGGGATGGTGGCGTTGTTGGTACCATGGGTGAATGGAAGATGAGTGGATGTGGAACATCAAGATAAGACTTGGTTTCCTTTTTCTTCACTGGCAGTATCATGAGTGATGATGTATGATGATGAATTCTTAACCACAGACGGCGGCGCAGGATACACCCCCCCAAAAAAAATACAGATACGTCCACCTTGCTCTAAGCTCATGGCTCAACCTGGACTCATGTCAAAATTTGTGAAGAAGAAGAAGAGAAAAAGAAGAAGAAAAAACACTCCCATATCACAATTCATTACTCCTCCCAAAGTTCCAAAGCACTAGCAACCAACCCCTTAACCTCCCCACTCCTCACACTCTTCTCGGACCTCGCCTTCAATTCCTCCTTCCAAATCCCCCACCTCTCCTTGTTCAACCCAACCCAGTCCGGCTTCGTCTTTTCGTACTTGGTCCCAGCAACCCCAGTCCTCGCCGTATAAACCTTCCCCTCCTCGCTCAGCGCCTTCAACCTCTCGCCAGCCACATTAAACCAGACGGCAGCCAGCTTGATTGCTATTTCGGTCGTATCCTCCTGCTCACCCTCTCCGCCTTCCTCAAGAGCCTCTCTGATGGCCCAAAGCCCGTACAAGGAAAAGTCAAACGCTTCAATCCCCTTTCTGCCTGGCGCGGAGAGCATCGTCAGGTTAGCCAAGAAGTAAGTGATGTTCTCCCACCTCGCCTTCTCCTTCTCGCCGACGCTTGGGTTGGAAACCTCAAAGTTGAAGAAGTCCCTCGCGGCCCACCCGAACTGGGGCAGGTCGTGCCATATGGAGGCATCCTCCTCAAACTTGAAGTCCGGTTTGATGGTCTCTTTCTGGAGCTGCACGAGAAAAGAAATCAGGGGCGCCTGTTGGGCTGCGGGTGTCTTGCCGACGAGGTTGAATACTTCGGAGTAGAGCTGCCAGAAGAGCGTGCTCAGCTCGTCGTGGACTATGTCCTCCCTGTACGCGTCAACGACGGATTTTTCTCTCTTTGGGGTTGAGATTTCGTTGGCTAGGTCCGTGACCGTGCGGACTGCGGTTGTGATGTCTTTCTCAGACGAGGAGCCGGAGACGAGAGGGGCGAGGACTTCATGTATGATTTTTGGGTTTTTCTTTTCGGGGTCATTGTCGGAGGGAGACATTGTTGGTGGTGATATTGTGAGGTGGTTCTGATATGAGTGGAATTTGGGGTTTGTTGGTGGGACTCGGATTCTGAGGGGAGAGCCTGAGGGGAAAGGATTTTTTAAGGGGAGGTAGGTTGGAATATATCTTATTTTCCAAATCCGGCACCGGCACAAGAGCTTCATGAAAGAATGGGAATCGAGGGGTTTGTACGTTGAGGACGGGAGGTAACCGCTCTGTACAACGTGGTGTTATGCACGCCGTACCGACGCTTTGCGGGCACCTCCGGGTTGACGTCAGCGGGGTAATTCCCACTTTCCCTCAACGCCATCAAGCACCAGTAACATTCACTAAATGCAAAACGTTTTTTAAAAGTTAATAATGAAAGGGTATGGTTTCTTGATTCAGTAAACTGGTCATAATCCTGATCCATCAACCACGGCGGGATGCATAAAGATTTCAGTGACTCAATATCTGAATGGTTCTTAGAAATTTATATATACCTTCAGTCCTCTCAGTTCTTGTTCATCACGGAATCATCATCATTAGCTGGCTCACATCCAATACTTGGATATCTACCATGATTCGCTCATTGCAGTGCGTCTCCATTGCAAGGCTAATCAGCTGATGGAGGTAAGAGAGTTAATGTCACCAGTTACACAGGCGTCCTATATGCCGTCCCAACTACGGTTGCCCAAAGAATTGATCGTTACTATCATGTATGGGAATGGCTGAGCCAGTCGTGGACACATACTTTGGTGTGGTGAGGTCGGCCAAGGACACAATCGCAAGCTGTTGGGATTCTTAGGTTGTGAAGAAATGGGAGCAGCTTCCTTTAAAGTTCGGGAAGTTGGTCACAAACTCGATCATGATGAAGCTTTTGGCAGTGACTGGACACTGGAATTTAAAGATCATGGTGTCCCCCACACTGCGGGATCTCCCCACTCTCAATAGGTACGGAGCACCACAATCCCACTTCTGCAATCTTTGCTTGTCACTCCGTGCAACCAATTACACTGGATACCTCGGCATCACAAAAACACCAATTACCTTTCCAGACCCCAAAACGTTTCGTTTCCAGACAAAGATGTGCATCACACACGTGTGACCTGCCTCAGGTAATTGTAAGCAATGACCTGCAGCAAACTGTCACTCCCGTCTTCGTTGCCAGTTTGCTTCCCCACAACAGTCCACACAAGCTGAGGCCTCACTGATAAGCGGGAAACACAGCGGGGTTCACCGGTTCCTTGCTTGGCTGAACGGGCTAGCAAGCCACCAACACCTCTCTCACTCAATCAAATGCCCAAGATGCTCAATAGCTCAACAGCAATTACCTTGGATGTCTCAGAGAAAAAAAAAAGAGGATCTAGAACTTTTTGAAAACTCAACATCCAATAATAGCGTACATCAATTCAGCTTGACTTTAACTCTTGGCGCCGCGGCTGAATCTTTTGGGCAAAAAGCGAAGATCTTAGATCCCTCTTGGCCCACCCACCTGGCTGGCCCCCTTTAAACTCATTTTAATTTCTTTAAGGAACTCCATTTTCAACTTCACTTTTCCATAACCCATTTTTTTAATATCATAACAACACAACCCACAAACCCAGTTATATCCTCAAAATGGTCGGCTTCAAAGCATTTCTAGTAGCGGCGCTCTACGCAGCAGCAGCAGTAACGGCACAGGGCACCACTTCCATCAGTTCGGTTTCGTGCGGTTCCAAGAGCTACACAAAACAGCAGGTGGACGAGGCCGTGGCGGAGGGGTGCAGGCTCTACGCGGCGGGACAGCAGCTGGGGAATTCAAAGTACCCGCACAAGTACAACAACTTTGAGAACTTGGTGTTTGCTGCCAGCGGGCCGTATCAGGAGTTTCCAATTGTGAGCGGGGGGGCTTATTCTGGAGGTTTGTATTTTTTATTATTAAATATCGGTTTTTATGTTTTTCTTGGATACAGAAGGTGTTGCTACCGATTTGGGGTGAAAGTGCTGGGATGGGATGATGATGGGGAATGAAGCTGATATGAGGGAAATGGAACGTAATGCTAATGAATAAAAAAAATAGGTTCCCCAGGAGCTGATCGTGTGGTGTTTAGTCCTAGCTATCAAGGATCCTGCGTTTACGTGGGCGCCATGACGCACACGGGGGCGAGTGGTAACAGCTTCCTGAGTTGTTCGGAGAAGAGTGCTGGACGGCCTGGGACTGGATCATCTGCATCAACAACGACGACGACGACGCCCACGACGAGCAGTGTGACTAGGAGTGCTGCGTCAGCTACGGGGCCGCCTAAGAGTTCGTCGACTGCTGGTCCTGATTCTGGGGCAGGGAGGAAGATGATGGGACTGGGAGGACAGGGGTTGGCGTTGGGGTTGATGGCTTGGGCTTTTGTTTTGTGAGTGAGGCAGAAGCATGGTGGGTGGGCGTGACGGTTTTATGAAGATTTGTAGTTTGAGATGATGTGGATGTTTCTTGTCCATGAGACTCCCAGTGGAGCTTATCAACCTTATTATCGGTTAACTGAGCATAGCTCTTCTGCGACGAAGATACTAAAGATACCCTGCATGGTTTCTCTCGGTTCAAGTGTGTTTTGTGGTATTATCGATAGGATTCATATAGTAGCCCGAATCCCAATTATTCAGTCTGATATCTTGACGCTCTGGAATTCTCAGATCTCTTACTGTTCTCTTGTCTTGTCTTTGCCTGCTGGCTCGGTAGCCTGAGCAGGTCAATGTAAAATGGCCCAAGTTCGTGCCGAGAATCTGATGTGGTTGTGGCAAGAGGTAGAGTACTGTCATGCGGTGATGCGATAGTTGTAACTTTACGATATTTGGGAGTAAAGTTGGGCTGGTGCCAGAGAGAGAAGCATCGTCAGAGCCAGGAGACAGAAGATTGCTGAGAGGGTCGGGTCCAGACTGCTAGTTGACAATGAGTGAAATGCCGTTATCTCCCGAAATACATCTTAAAAGAAGCTTTAAAGCAAAAACAAATTTAACAAAAGAGTTTTGAGCGTACTTTTGATGAGATATACTGCGACATAAAAGATACGTACCATTGACAGCAGAGGTATAAAAAAAGATTAAATAAAGTGACTGAGTCAGTCAATTGGTATTCTTCCATCCTATCAATACAAGTCTTTTATTGCTACCTGACATCCATCGCTTTCCTTCCATCGCTACGCATGCCCATCAAGGTATACATATATTCTGGGGACTCGCTAACAGGAAACAGACGGAATCGCCATTCTCACACGCAGAAATTCAGCAACTGAATCAGAAGAAGAAAAAAAAGTATATTCTTTATAACCAAGCAATCAATTTGCATCTATTTATTTTCTCTCAATTCTAACCGCGCCACACCACCACAACAATCAGCTTCTCTTTTACTCCTCCTCCTCTTGACCATCTCGCGCATCCGCCCCCTTCTCACCCGCATCCTCAACCCCGTCCTCCTCCTTCCGTCCCCTCATCATTCCCCCACCCCAACCGCCCATAACAACCTCCCCCTCCGCCCAACTCCCCCCCTGGCCCTCACTAACCAACAACTCCAACCTAACCCTCGCGGCCCTCTGCCCGACCCTCCAAACCCTCGCAAACCCCTGCTCCACCTCCCTCCTCGTCCACCCGGCACTGCTGACAACGCAGTAACTAGCCCTCTGCAGATTCAACCCCGTGCCGCCCGTGCTCAAACTCATGACCAAGAGGTTAGCCGTCCCGTTGCCCTCCCTCAGGAACCCGTCGATCAGTTTCTGCCTCTCGGCCTGCGGGAGGGACGGGTGGACGTAGGCGTGCTTGAGCCCTTTGA